CCAGGATTCTAGGGGGGGGTATTTACCCCCAGGATTCTAGGGGGGGGGTAAATAACCCCAATAACCCCCCTTATATACGCCACTGGGAGCATCATGTACAAATCTGACTAGATCACCATAGTTTCAGTAGAAGTAAATATTTCCATTTACTGCTATAGCGCTGATATAAGGATTTATCCCTGATTGGATAATGAGCTAGATAGAAAGATAGACGTTACCGCCATACAATTTCTATTGGTTCAGAATAGACACCAAACACATGGCTGAACCCTGATTGGATCAGGCGCTAATGGACTCGGAATACTAGAGCGACCAGCTACCACCAATTCACTAAACATTGTAGTTTTTGTGTAATACTTGAATAATGAAATACAATAAAAGTGCAAATTTAAGTATTTCTCAAAAACATATTAAGTTTTGTGAATTGGTGGCAGTCTAATTAGATTCGTACAAGATCAAAATATGGGACTAAAGAATGCAGCAACTGATATTAGAAACAGGGCTGTGCTACAAAGCATCAGTCATAACATTGCTAATAGAAATATTTCTATGTTTTTGAATTGACAAAAATGTTATAATCTTATATATAATGGTTATAATAAAGGGTGTACACTGTACATTGTCCACCCACCTTTCGTCTCTAATTTCATGTAAATCTACAAATATTAAACTGAAAATTTCCAAAATCATCGACATAAACACAAGAAAGAAGTTTGCATTTACAATACCATGTATTAAAAAGTGGCTTAAAAGTTCAAGATTTGGCTTTCCTCAGAATTTTTCACTTGCTAGCCTGCTGGAAGTATCAAACTCGTTCTTTAAGCCGGAGATGGAGAACATCGTGTTGCAAAGATGTAGGGATTACAACAATTTGAGTTTGTTGAAAACACTCATTTTCCTTATCAAAAATAGCTAAATGTAAATTTTTATTCTGTACATAATCGTAATTTTATTAATATAATTTAATTTATAATAATTACTATAGATATTAATGAACGAGTTCTAATTTTTCACCAAAATAATAATTTTATCTTCTGCCCCATCCCCATCCTCTTCTCCCCCAACCCCAACCACCCCTATTCCCCCATCCCCCCCACCAGTAATCCTCTCCAGTTGTTCCATTCCCAGTTCCATTCCCAGGTTTCATCATAGGCGGGGGTGGCTGGGAATCCTAAATAGATTTTTTAAAATATTCATTTTTAATGCATTTCACAGAGCTTTGGGTTGTAACCTAAGAAACAGGACAATCGGTCCAGTCAGTAAATACTTAAGACTTGTAGTGGTGAGAATTTTGATTGTACTTGTACTGAATCAGCTCATAGCAAAATAATACTAAATTACTCAGCTCATCGAAATTGTACTGTCCATTTCGTAAAATTTGACCATTCTCTCAAGTTTGTTAGAATGATTTCAAAATCGTTCTGTTTTTGTTCATTTAAAAAAACAACAGTTTTTTATTTCTATGCTATAAATGCCCATCTCTACCAGCTAGGTTTTTATACTTTAGATGCACATCTGTACCAGCTTGGTGTCTATACTATAGATGCCCATCTCTACCAGCTAGGTTTTTATACTATGGATGCCCATCTCTACCAACTAGGTGTCTATACTATGGATGCCCATATCTACCAGCTAGGTGTCTATACTATAGATGCCCATCTCTACTAGCTATGTGCCTATACTATAGATGCCCATCTCTAGCAGCTAGGTGTATATACTATAGATGCCCATCTCTACCAGCTAGGTGTCTATACTATAGATACCCATCTCTACCAGCTAGGTTTCTATATCATAGATGCCCATCTCTACCAGCTAGGTGTCTATACTATAGATGCCCATCTCTACCAGCTAGGTGTTTATACTATAAATGCCCATCTGTACCAGCTAGGTGTCTACACTATAGATGCCCATCTCTCCCAGCTAGGTGTCTATACTATTGTTGACTTTAAAAGTCAATATGATAAAATAAAAGAGATCTAACGGTATTTCTAATCTTTATTTATAAAAACAAAAGGTTATGAAATATTTTCCCGAGTGGGGCTTAAATTGGCTGGTATAGAAATTAATAAAGAAACTATAGACGAATATCGGTTGGAAAGAGTTTGTAGAGCTTCATGATGGTGGTGCAGATCATCAATCTTGACGGCAGGATTTGGCAGGCTTACTTACAATCAGGCTTAGTCTCAGGGAGAGAGATTGCGGACTTATCCTGTATACAGGATAATGGAAGGACGTCTGATATCCGCCCGGATCTCTGGAACATTGTGGAGCGCGGAAGCTAGGTGTAAGCAGTGTCTTCTGCACTTAGTTCTGTATCTGAATCATCATCACAAAGGAGCCAGGGTGGAGTTGTGGATGTCTTGAGTGTATGTGGCTGACTGCCGGGTGGAGCGGGAGCTAAGGTGAGCGGGGATTTGACACATGTGGTGTGCTTGCTTCCTGTGTACACACACATTTAGAGAATTAACGTCGGCATTTGAGTCGGAAAAATCGTCTTCCTTATATTTCGAATTTGTTTTAACAACTATAGATGCCCATCTCTACCAGCTAGGTGTCTATACTGTATGATACCCATCTCTACCAGCTAGGTGTCTATACTATAGATGTCCATCTCTACCAGCTAGGTGTTTATACTATAGATGCCCATCTCTACCAGCTAGGTGTCTATACTAAGAGAGTGAGTTCCAGTAGGGTTTCCAGAAGAATACAAAAATCGTTGAGCGCAAATTCCGCATATTGTGTAAATTTATATTCCACAGATAATCCCGTATTTTTTGGAAGACAAAAATTGAAAATTGCACAGATAAAAAAGTTTGCTGAAATTTCATACCGAAAAAAGTTTGCGCACACCCTTGTATACGTGGTGGCACTGAAAATGTTTCCAAACTACCAATATTATATTGTGGCATAATTGTTTTAAAAATGGGGTATTTTTTCTCTGGAAGCACAGAAAGTCATATTGAGCTTTAGATTTATAGTTGATGGATCATACTCTTTGTATTCATGATATTTCACAAATAGTACAATTGTAAGAATAATCATTTAATTTTTAGAAACTTGAGCGTTGTAAAAATCAATGTTGTTTAATGTAATTTTGCTTTAGACAAATGTAAATGATGAATATATTGATATTTAAGAATCCTACATGTTGGGTATGTATTAGGTATTTCTTCCCAGAGGTAAGAGCAGCTGAACATATAACCAGGAGAACTATAAGTTCAAAAGTTTTCATCCTAAAAATTTTAGATTTTATTTAGATTCAGATTTCTTTGTGAACCATAATGTTCAAGCACTTACAAAAAATCTATCAGTATTTTGCCAATTAAATATTTGAACCTAGATTGCAAACTAGTCAGATAAAATTAAAAGCATAAATGTTGTGAAACTTCAAAGTTGATCCTGTCTAGAAAAATTTGAGGCTTGATGCTCAAAGGGAAAGTAAGCGCACTTTCAAGTGACTTTCTGTGCAAAGGTGGCGATTCCCGAGTCACAACGGTACCCTTACACGCTTTTTAAACAGATATTTTACAAATTATTGATTAGATATTAGTTTTAAAGGGAGAGACGGGCCAGGTAAAGTATCTGAACCGAGAGTGCAGCGTTATAAAGAAAAAAAATTAGGACTCATTTCCTAACAATGAGACGTTTACACGGTTTATTATTTCTGTACTGCTTGATAAACGTTTCCTGTATATTTCCGGAATCAAAACCATATCTGATGATCATAAATAAATGTTTTATTCTGCCATTGATGTTTTTTCACAAATGTATATTGAGGGTTTTTAAATAATTGAAGAAAATAACGTTTCTTTTGCTGACTATCCCTTTCTAGGGAAAATTTAAAAACGAGTTTACACCATAAAAACGTCTCATTGTTACAAATGAATCCTGAAATTTATCTCTATAATACTGCACTCTTGATTCAAATATGTGACCTAGCCGGTCACTCACTTTAAGGATACCGTTGTGAATCAGACATTGCCACCTTTGTATAGCAGGGTAACATGTAGGAGTCCCTTTAAAGGTATAGCTTTTAGAAATTCTCTAAGAGGTAGTATTCACAGTATCCACCACTGAACTCTGCTGGATTCCAAATACGTGTGATTTATTTAGTTTTCCCACCTGAGGGTTTGCTAACTGGAGAATAAAAACTGTTGACAATTGTTCTCTAATGTATTACAAATTATATTAATTCAATACAATTTATTTTTGATTATTTACTTCAAAGGATTTTATGGAATAAATAATCTATAATTAATTGAACACAAATATAAATTTATGCTTCAGCTAGTTTCACCTGAGAGTATAGAAACTGAATAGAGTGCTATTATGTATTAACATCTGCCTCAGCAGTAAGCATCGATTCATGCCTCTACAGTTTTTATCCTCAGTTTTTTTTCACAAATGAACTGAGTTTTTGTCACAATTTCAGATTTTCTAAACCCGATATCTCTGTAACTGGATTATGTAAAACTTTGATATTTCAAACTAAATTATTTGATCTACCAGAATTCATAGTTTGAAATATCTAAGGCCTACGAAATTGGGTTGCAAAGTTGTAACGATAGGAAAATTTTAGTTTGTGGCAAAGACTCAATTCCTTTATCAAAGAATTTTGTCTACAGATCGAGGGTTCAGCTGCTCCTGGCTATAGAGTCCGCCTGTGATTTGTAATGATTAAATTTATATACAGAGATTTTCTGCCAAAAATGAATGATTTAATTTAATCAGATTTGAAAACCACCCTCTTGTCTAACTATCAACGTATTGAACCGTATGGTGTAATTTCAAGAGACCCTCCATTTGATTAGTGGCATGTTCGATTCCCAACAGTGTCCTTTTCACCATTGACTAATCAAGGTTGTCTGAGCGAAATCTACAGAAACACTTCTAACTGTTGAACACTTTTTTTATATTCAAGAATTATTGTTATTTACTTCCTAGACGATGCAAGAAATGTTTAAACCGCTTGTAATGTAATGTAATTGTAATGTAAGGTAGCTTGTAATGTAATGTACTTGTAATGCAATGTACTTGTATTGTAATGTACTTGTAATGTAATGTACTTGTAATGTAATGTACTTGTAATGTAATCTACATTTAATGTAATGTACTTGTAATGTAATGCTTGTAATGTAAAAGATTCAGAAATTTCTAGGGACACAAGTTATGGATCAGCTGTGTTGAGTTCACATTGTATGCAGCAAACACTGAGTTCTAAAGAAATTCAAACTCTTTTTGATAGATTTACGCACAAAGATCTCAGTGCTCGATAAACAATCAAGGACACAGTTTCAATGAATAATGTCATTATGTCTAAGTTTACAACATTAGATTACAGAATATCATGTTTCCACGTTTTTTTTTTTCTACAGGGATGCTTTTAATATTACATTTACGGAATGTAATATAATAAATGAATGACGGAAAATGTCAACCTTGTCTCGAATTCTTATTTTGTGATTTCTCTTTATCAATTGGGTTCAGTCCTATAGATGGAGGATGGAAAGGATCAAAGAAAAGCAGAAATAAAACATTACTACACTCCCAACATCCCATATGCAATGTTGCATGGAAGCTTTCAGTTGGACGAATTAATAAGGACGCACAAGGAAGATCCACTTTTGAGGACGTATAAAAGTGTGACTTTCATTTATTTAAAAACAGAAGCTGCAGAGAAAGAATACAGATATAATCAGCAAAGGAATTGAGTCTTTGCCACAAACTCTGTTTTTTAAATCCTTATATCTTAACAACCCAATATTGTAGACTTTAGATATTTCAAACTATCACTTTTGTTATATCAAACAATTAAAGTTTGAAATATCAAAGGTTTACATAATTTGGTTGTAGATGTATAGGTATTAGAAAATTGGGATTTGTTGCAAAGACTCAATTCCTTTAAACACGAAAAAGACTAGATATGTAAGACAATTAAAAACTATTGAACAGATTTTGTTGCCATAATTATCATTTGAGTATTTTGCTGAACATAATCGATATTTACAGGAATAAAGTCTTTAATGGACGTGTTATTTTGATTTCAAGTGGCCCCTTCATGTTTAAAGAAGAATGCCAGATTCACATCGATAAACTGAAAACCTTTATCTGATCAATAATGTGGAAGTTAACTTTGTGTGTTTTTGTATGCAGGGTTACCCACAAATGTTTGTTTTTGTATGCAGGGTTACCCACAAATGTTTGTTTTTGTATGCAGGGTTACCCACAAATGTTTGTTTTTGTATGCAGGGTTACCCACAAATGATGAGACTTCGAAGACGACTGTACAGATTTTACCAAACTTTTCCTTACATTCTGGGTTTTATGCAATCTTAAACCCTTTCCTCTCAACGAAAAATTATTTAGCAAATAAAATCAAATTCTAAATTCAATATTCAATTTAATTTGGATCGTCATATTTGAAGAGTTTTGAGAATGTCTAAGTGTCATCCCTGTAAGCTTAAAAGTATTTTATTCTGATATTTAATAATGGTTTTTCTTGCAGCAAAAAATGCACAAGTCGTCTCTGTAATAGAATTTTCAATCAAAATTCAGTTGCGCGGAGTGGTGTGAAATTGCGTGGAATTGCGTGGAATTGCTCGGAATTGCGCAAAGAGAAACTCAACGTGCGTTGTAAACCCTACTTTTTAGTTTCTAGAAGAATTATGATTGAAAATTCTCAGTTTTCACGAATAAAAACATGGATATCTAATTTTATGTCCTTTTTCCAACCATTGTCCTGTATTGGTGTTATGACACAATAAATAATTTTATTAAACAATAAATAATCAGATAAAATCGTTGTGAAGATATATTTTTGATACTTTTTTCAAATTACAATGAATGGGTACCCATCCCAATTCTCTCCCTATTTCCCCCATCCCCATCCACCCCATCCTCCACCCCATCCCCCCCATCCCCATCCTCTACAGCCCCAGCATCCTCCCCAACCCCAGGTGTAATCTGTTCCATTCACACTTCCATTCACAGGAGGTCTATGACCCTGAAAAAAAAATTGTTATCTCTGTCACAAGGGGGGGGGGGGGGGTGAAGGGGGTGGTTTCCCCCCTCTGCAGTCTAAATATATAAGTATTGCTTGTCTGTTCGTTTGTATCCAATAAACGTCAAAACAGCCGAACCGATCGGACCATAAATATTTAAGGCAACTAACACGAACCCATAGGAAGGTTTATGGATCTACAAAAATTTGTCTCCAAAATGTCTGCATTTTTTAAAAGCCACACAAAATATTACTAAATTTGCGAACTTTTTTGTTATTGTTTTTTATTGTAAAAGAGAAGATGCTTACAGATATAGGTACAATAAAAAAATTAAATGGAAGACGGGCGCAGAGCGACCTGGAAGCCTAGTAATTTACTAGACCGCTAAAACTACTTAACTTTTACAACTTCATTGGGAAGAGTGGAGGACGGTCAAACTGGTCGTCAGTGTTAAAAACAAATTAAAAATAGTTCATAAATTTTTATCAATTAAGCTACAGATCTAAATATTTGAATTTTGCTAATAATTGTCAAAAGTAAAAATAAATATTTTTCTATATTTTCCGACGTAGTTTTTGTAAACCTACCTAACACCTAAACTATCAAATATAGAGGTCTATTTTTTTATGTTCTGGCCTTGGGAAGTTAGACAGTACGTAGCACACTCCCCTATCTCAACTCTCACAGATTGTTAATTGTCAGATTAAGGTGTGCGGTAATTCGAAGACATCGTTGAGATTTTCTAACATTTTACCTGTTGTGTTTGTATTAGATACTTTTTCCCTGAAGCAAGAGCAGCAAAACATAGGAACAGTAGAACTAACAACTGACAAGTCTTCATTCTGTTTTCTTAAACAAAACTATTGTTAATAAAGTTTTTTTCCTTCTATTTTGATTCTTTGTAAACCTGAGAGGGTTAACTTTAAAGAAAAAGAATGAAACTTAAATGGATTACCGCAGACGTTATAGTTCAAGAGATCATCAATTTAAAGATTTACACCGTTTAGAGCATTTGATCTTGCTAGAATTTGGAAGATATTCCGTTTTTCCATCTTTTAAAGTAAGAAATTCTGTAAATTATGTTAAATGACTCTGCAGTACACTGAGAAAGGGAATTTGACTTGAAATTACGCATCCAGATGATCTTATCAAGGATGTGAAGGATAAAAATGAAATAGATCGCTAACTAATATGTTGTTGGATATCTATTAGGATAAATTCATAAAAAAACCGTCCCAAAAAGCCGACAGGTCTGACATTCAGTTATAATTAAAATAACACCCATATTATTTTTTAAAATATTAAACTCATTTTTTTTCTCTCGAAATTTAGCGACGTATTTAATGAATGGATTTTATATATTATCTATATAAGAATCCTTTTCGCTCATATATATATATATTTGTATAATTGTTAGCTATAGCTGGTCAAACAGCTGGATCGAATTGGCTGACATATTTTTAGCAAACCCAGGGGAGTGGGATACATATATCTCTAGTCTAACTTTTCAAGGCCAGAACAGTAAAAAAAATGACCTCTGAGTTTAATGGTTAAGGTTTAAAAAGAAAGTTTTAAAAGTACGTTGGAAAAATGAAAAAAATATTTATTTTTACTTTTGATACTTATTACCAAATAAAAGAAATAGATCTGTAGCTTAATTGATAAAAAAGTTATGGACTATTTTGTTTTAACACTGACGAGCCGTTTGACCGTCCTCCACCCTACCCAATGACGTTGAAAAAGTAAATTAGTTTGAGCGTTCTAGTGGAACAAAGGCTAAATAAAATTCTTTAAATTTTTCGGATTACGCCTGGCACTTCACCAGGTTTAATATTTTTATGACATATAAGATTTTTGGATTTGTTGCAACTGGAAAATGGTTTTATTTCAGTTATTAAGAAGTTGAAAGTTAAAAATAAAAATGAGAACTTCGAAGCTAAAAACTGTAGGAAGCAAGAAATATTCTTTTTAGAGTTAACAAATACTATTTCAAATTTCAATTAGTCTGATCCTTATCAACAGGTTATACAGATAGACAACGTGATTTACTGATTTTATTTAATAAATTGATACAACAATTACGTGGTAAAATCTTGTCCAAGTTTGTTCTGTTTTTGTCCTAGTTTGTTCTTTTTTGTCCTAGCTAGATTTTTTTGTCCTCGTTTGTTCTTTTTTGTCCTAGTTTGTTCTTTTTTGTCCTCGTTTGTTATTTTTTGTCCTCGTTTGGTCTTTTTTTGTCCTCGTTTGTTCTTTTTTGTCCTAGTTTGTTCTTTTTTGTCCTAGTTTGTTCTTTTTTGTCCTTGTTTGTTCTTTTTTGTCCTAGTTTGTTCTTTTTTGTCCTATTGTCCTAGTTTGTTCTCCTTTTGTCCTTGTTTGTTCTTTTTTGTCCTAGTTTGTTCTTTTTTGTCCTAGCGAAATCTTTTTTGTCCTAGTTTGTTCTTTTTTGTCGATCCCTTTTAAGAAGTATCTTTTCCAAGCTTGTCCTATTTTGTCCTATCTCTCCTTCTTGTCCTATCTTTTAGTTTCTTGGTTTTATCTTAACATATCTTGTCATATTTGGTAATATCTTGTCCTGACATGTCATGCCCTGTTATGTCCTGTCATATTTTCTCATTTTGTCCGGCCTAATATCTTTGTTTCTTGTTTATAAATGAAATTGTAGAAACAAATAGTCTTTTGTCTTGGCATATGTATATCTGTATACCTATAAACTTAATAATATTATAAAAATATATAAAGGTTAAAGACCTGATCTACTGATCAATAAATACTAACAATAATATGACTATTTGGAATAAATTTATAGAAACTTGATACAACTTATTTATAACAATTTACACAATTTTAAAATGCATAAATGTGCAAATTTCAAGGCAATCATACAAATACAATTTATTAAAATTTTGTAGCAATAATATAAACGGGTTGCAAGGCCTTTGCTTCTTGTTTGCAAAGACCGTCATAGTATAAAGACTAAAGGCAATAGCCTTTTCACGTAAAGAGTTACGCATTCATAGTTCTCATAAAAATGTCACAAAATGTTGTCATTTATATAAACATAGCTATTAGGGTGCTTCGTACCAATCCTTTATTTCAACTTTTAACTGTTTGCTCAATTGCTCAGCATTTTCCCTTCGATATGAAAATATTGAAAACTTTTGCGGATTTACATTTTTTTCGTGGATTTTCAAAATTTTACGAAAACCTGAAATTTTTGGAGATGTATGTTTGTAATTCTAAGCATCAATAACCCTGCCCTTGGGTCATGTGAGGTTCCGCTAAAATGTTTGGCCTGTCGGTTCAGCCGTTTCGACGTTTATCGGTCACAAACAAACAGACACGCAAACAAATATGTATTTAGAAGATTTAAAGGATTCTCGGAACTTTTAGACATATCCCTTGCTAAAAATAAAAAAAGAAAATTTTGTTTTACCAAATACTTAAAACAGATTTCAATGTTTTGTTTACAATTTTTTTATTCTAAACTAACTTTTGGTTCCTTTGAGCCATGCTAAGCCTAAATAGTAGAAGCCGACATAGACCTTAGATATTTTAAACTTTAAACTCTGTAAGATTAAATAAAGATCAAATATTAATATAGATCAAATACAAATCAAATATAGATTAAATATTAAATAAACTAATCTTCAATTCCTACCGTTTTCATAAGATTTAGTAGAGCAGTCCCTCAAAGATTCGATTGGAGTGAAATTCTTTTGTTGAAACCCATAAAATAGAAACGGCCGTTATCAGCAACTTGACACATTTTATTCAGTTTACTGGAAAACGTGTTTAATAAATTGTGATATTTTTATTTCATTTTGTTCTGTAAATAAAATTGAATATGGGTGTATAACTAATTTAAAATTTTATTACTAATATAAGGTTGAAAAAAATTCGATGCTTTATACAAATTTGAGTTTTCATATGTGTATGAATGAATTCACGATTTAGAGGGGGGGTGTATTAGATACTTTTTCCC